ACCACCTAATGTTCCGCTGCATCTCCATGAACTTCAAGCACTAATCAAACAACTTCCCAAACCTTTTTTAATTTGTGATTTTAGTGCCCACCATTCTTTGTGGGGAAGCTCTCGTCAAGACTCTCGACGTGGAGTTATTGAAAGGCTTTTATTATCAACTGGAATCTGCCTGCTCAATAAGAACCAACATTTTTTAGTGCTGCCCACAACACTTTTACAGTAATCGACCTATCACTATCATCACCATCTCTACTTTCATGCTTTTCATGGAATGTTTTAGACAATCCTTTTGGAAGCGACCATCTACCCATAATTTTGTGTTTTACCAGTTTCATCGATACCAACTCGACTACCGCGATGGAAGTTGGAAAAGGCCGACTGGTCTATTTTTGGTCTAGAAGCTACACTCGATCTCCCTCCTTGTTTCTTCATATGACTCCTGAGGATGCAACACTTTACGTTACAGAATGCATTATAAATGCTGCTTCCGCTTCAATTCCACAGACCTCAGAAAATCTTCCCCGGAGGTGCAAGCCCTGGTGGAATGAGGAATGTACTTCCACTCGGAAAAGCCAGAATAAGGCGTGGGGAACTTTTCGTCGCTATCCAACTTTCCGTAATTTGATAGTTTAGGGAAAAAAGAGCACAAGCTCGGGTGGACGCGAAGACGGGCCAAGTGGACTTCATGGACAAAGTATGTTTCATCTTTAAATAGTTTTGTTACTGCTAAAGAAGTATGGGATCGTCTCAAAAAAGTTCGCGGGCAGTACCATGCTTTCAAGATTTCACTTTTCCTTCAATCTCAGCATCTCTAACAGGACAAGCAGACTTCCTAGCAGAACATTTTCACCGCGTCTGCAGCTCTTCCAATTACAGTACGGAGTTTTTTAAGTACCAGTCTACCGCTGAAAAGCAGAAAATCACTATATCAGGCTTCAACTCTGTTGCATACAATAGACCGTTCACAGTGTGAACTGAAAGTTGCTCTCAGCCTAAAAATGCAATCTGCACCTGGGCCAGACAGAATTCACTACGAGATGCTTAAGCACCTGTCTCGTGAATCTTTGTCCCACTTGTTGTCTTTTTTCAATTACCTATGGAAAGCTGCTGCTTTCTCCCATTCTTGGAGAAGTGCCCATGTTACACCTTTGCTGAAACCTGGAAAAGATCCCTCTCTGGCTACCAGCTACTGCCCCATAGCACTTACAAGCTGCTTGAAGAAAACTTATGAAAGGCTTATAAATCGCCGCCTTATGTTCCTTTTGGAAGAGAAACTTTTTTGACACTAAGCAGTGTGGCTTTCGTGCTGGACGGTCGACCATGGACCATCTGGTCCGACTTCAGACCGTCATACGTGAGGCCTTTGTACACCGGCAGCATTGCGTGTCGGTGTTTTTTTACCTAGAGAAGGCATATGACACTACGTGGAGGTATAATATCCTTCGAGATCTATACAACTGTGGAGTGCGTGACCGCATGCTTCATTGCTTGCAGAATTTTTTAAGTGAGCGTACATTTCAAGTTCGATTAGGCTCGACTTTATCCAATGTCTTCTTACAAGAAAATGGTGTCCCCCAAGGCGGAGTCTTAAGTGCCACCTTATTTGCAGTTAAGATAAACAGTCTGGCTCAAGTTATTCCGTCATCTGTTTCATACTCGCTTTACGTGGGTGATGTGCAAATATCCTTTTCGTCCTGCAACCTCTCCAGTTGTGAACGGCAACTGCAGCCCACAATAAACAGGATGACCAAGTGGGCAAATGAAAATGGTTTTAAGTTTTCCCCAGAGAAAACTGTGTGTGCCGTTTTCCCTGCGACGAGGTTTGACTCTGAACCCAATCTTTCAATTGAATAACATAAAAATAGCGGTGAAGCAGGAACATAAATTTTTAGGCATGTTCTTCGATAAAAAGCTTACATTCAAGCTTCATTTAAAGGAAGTAAAGCAAAAGTGCTTGCGATCCTCTAACATCCTTAAAGGGCCCATGAAACGAATTTTGTGTTGGGATAAATCATTTTCGATTGGGATTTTACTAATAGCACATCGTTCAGTGGGCCAAAAGAAAAAAGGTAGAAAGACAAAAGCCTGACTTTCAGTGCGAAAATTTGAAAACACAGCGGACTATTTCGTACCTCCTCCCCTTCGTAAGCTCTCTGCCTTTTCACTGTGATACATCCGCGGTCCCAAAAGCGCGTCGTCGGGTCCAAACTGACGTCACACAAAACCGGACCTCACTTAGTCCCTTCACCCCTAAGCTGACATTGTGGTGGAAGCTACGCGCTTGCCGAACCAACCAGCCGCCTCCCTTTATCCCCTGACCTCAATCTCTGCGCGTGGGTATGCGCGGAGGAGCGTGATCATGTGGCAAGTGTGGCTGTCCCAACGAGCACGTAGCTTCCACAGCACTGTCAGCTCCGGGGTGAACGGGCTGGGGAAAGCAACTTTTGTCTGAATTCTGAGCGACGGGCTAATCTTCTAGGGGGACAATGGCTCTGTCCGGGTACATAAACCAGATTCCGAGCAAGAGGGGCCTCCCCTCTTTTCGTCTTCTTGAACTGTTTGGTGGAATGCGCGATTTATGAGTTGAGGAGGAAAGCTAAACAGGAAAAAGGTTGAAAAGCGTTTCATGACCCCTTTAAGGTGCTGTCACATATATCTTGGGGGTCTGACAGACGATGCCTCCTACGTCTGTACAATGCTTTAGTTCGGTCACGTCTGGATTATGGAGCTATTGTTTATGGTTCGGCACGACCTTCCACTCTAAAGATGTTGGATCCGGTTTATCACCTCGGACTTTGGCTTGCCACTGGGGCGTTTCGCATGTCACCCGTATTAAGCTTGTATGTGGATACTAATCAAATGTCTCTGGAAAAACGCCGACAGTACTTGAGCCTCTGTTATTATTACAAAGTGCTTTTGGATCCAAAAAATCCTGCTTATAGTATTTTAGATTCCTCAGTTCTGTAATTTATTTGAAAACAAGCCAACAATTGTGCGCCCCCTAGGTTTTCGAGTTCAAAGTATTTGTAGCTCTCTCAACCTCCCTGTCCCTTCCACAAGTGGTGTTAACTTGCTAAAATCTATGGAGAGACTTGCCCCTTGGAACGAGCTACCCACATGTTGTGACTGGTCTTTCACCAAATACAGTAAGAAGACCGTGGCTCCACAGTTTCTTCAGGAAGAGTTTCTATCTTTGCAAGAAAGAATATCTAGTGGTTGCGCCGAATACTATACCGACGGGTCGAAATCTTTATGTTCCGTTGGTTGTGCAGTCATTTTTGTCAATTCACGATGCGTCTTAGCTGCTATCTCTTCCAGAGTTTCCACAAAGAATGTACTTACACAACATTTTCGTTTTAAAGTAAACAGAGCTCTGCACTTTGGAAGTAATATCAAATTTTGCTGGGTACCAAGTCACGTGGGAATTGCAGAGAATGAGAGTACGGATCGCTTGGCTGCATCTGCCACAGATTCAATAGCATCTTTTGGCCTGCCCTATCAGGATTTTAAACCACTCTTAAAGAAATCTCTTTTCAAGACTTGGCAGCTAAAATGGGACACTGAAACCAACAACACTCCACGTGATTAAACCAATGATAGACATCTGGGAAAGTTCATTTCACAGAAACCGTCGTCTCAAGGTTATGCTTTGTCGCTTGAGAATCGGCCATTCACGTCGGACACATATGTACCTCCTCTGTGACGAAGAAGTTGCACTTTGTGCCCATTGTGGGGAATTACTTACAATTTTACATTCTATGGCAGTGTAGGTTTTATCATCAACTGTGCGTATCATGTTTTCCTGAACTTTTTAGAGACTATCTACCCTTTCATCCTATGTTTTTACTTGGTGACAGTGCTTTCACGTTCAGGCGGAACCATGAAGCACGCAACAGAACATCTTGGAGAATCGTGTCAGGACACAACGCTCGATATTGAATGATGGAAGGTGTAGTAGGAGTGCTCCTATATGTGCAAGGGCCCAGCGTTGTCCAAACGAGCACCAGCGAGAACTCGGTCTCGAAGCACGGGGAGAATTTAGCAACCCTGAGCAGCAGACGCTTGCTTGGTGTGCACCATTCCAATGTTTACAAATCCAGAGCCCAGTATGCAATCTCCCTTGGCACATGCAAATCTGTCGCCTTAGAAGGCGAGCACACTTGTGCATGCCTCACTCGTGAAGAACGCAAGTGTCACTGGCCAAAAGCAAAAAATTGTTGTTGAACATTGCACAAATGAAAAGGGTGAGAGCTAGTACTTCAGTTTGTCCTTCTGCATATTACTCTTTGTGAGCATGAAACGAGCGTACCCCCTAACAGTACTTCTGTAAAAAATACATCAAAATTTTTGCAGCATTGTTTTCTACTACATACTTCCCTAGCAAAATACAGCTCTCGAAGCTACACGACCAGTCTGCTGAATAGAATAGCAAGTTTGTGGTTCTGAGTCGACGGCGAGCACATACCTGCCAAGTCTCTCGTTTTACCCAGGAGACTCCCGAATTTTGAGGAATTTGTACGAGTGACAGGAAAATCTCCTGGAAAACGCAAATTACCACCCTCTTCCCTTCCCCACACTTGAGAGTTGCCATCGCAACAAATGGCTGCAATGATAGCGAGGCCCACCTGTATCTAGGTAGCATGAGCAGTGCAATATAAATGTAATGAAATTATCTTTATAAAAATTTGTCAATACATATTTTTTTTAAATGCTCTCCCCCCCTCCCTCTCTCCCTTCCTCATTCTCCCGGGTTTGGTTTCTCCAAACTTAACAGGTATACAAACATATTCTTCAGTGACACTAAGGGTGAAGCGACTGTGTCACTTCAAGTGTCACTTGAAGTGACACTAAATTACCCAGTCTGACAGGGGTACTATTTATCCCCAGAAAGTGGCAAGATTTCAATCTCCATTTTCTCCATTGGCATTACGCCTTAAGGGCTGAAGAACCTGCTTCTTTTTCATGTACTTGAGTCTCGATTGTCTCCATGCGTTGTGCAGTTCTGGGAGGTAATCTCGGACGAGCACGGCATTGACCCCACTGGCAGTTACCATGGAGACTCTGACCTGCAATTGGAGAGGATCAGCGTCTACTACAATGAAGCCTCTGGTGGGTAGCTTTCTAAATTCTTCGTAAACATGAACCTCTTTTGCGTATTTTGGCTGGCATTCACTATTTTTCAGCAATGTGACAGCTTCCTTTGTGCTCTCTTGATCACACGGTTGGCCAGGGGGTACATATCCGGTACTCTAATAATCATTGATCTGAACCATTAGCAACTGATCATAAAAGTTTTGGGGAGAAGGAATAAAGCATTGCTCGCTTGTTTTTTGCTCCTCTCTATAACATTTACTAGCGACGTGGTGCTGTGGAAAGAAATTGGTCATTCCTTTTTCGTTTTACGGCGCGGCTCTTTCCCCCCACTCGAAATGATGCAGGGTGTCCATTGTAGCTATTGTCGCACAACTCCCAATAGACATCAGGGTGTTGTGTGACGTTAAAGTGCCATGTGACGTCATGATGTCACATGACTACTAGCATTGTTGCGTGACATCACCTATGTCCCTCTGAGCAGACATTGGAAATGGTTCCTCCATGCTAGGTGCAAGATACTTCATGGTACTTAGAATCCAAAAGGTATCTGTTTGTTTTTTTTTTGGTGACTATAGACCAGTGTCTGCTCAGTTGCAAGGGTGCAGTCATGTTTATGCTGATGACATGCTTAGTAATGAGACTGCATTTTTTGAAAGACTTGTGTTTTTTTTAGATACTTTTGCACTTACTGTAGTGAGAGAACATCGGAAATGTTTAGTCACAAAGCTCCAAGAACAACACCAATGCCAAGAGTGCTTTAAAAAGGAAAAATCTAGTTTTATGCTTGGCCCCTCTCATATGAGTCTGCAGTTGAGGTTATCATTTCTAATTTTTATCCCTGGGGGCTAGGATATTGAAAACTGGTCTATAGAGAAAGCCCACTTAATTGGCAAAGTTTGCCCTGGCATAAAGCCAACTGATGCAGTAACAATCTGTTAAAGAATTTTCATGCACATGGGGAGACTCTTTTGGTTTACCTTACTGCTTCTTAGGGGTTATATTGCAGCTGAAACATTATTGAAGCTTCTTGGGTATTTCAATGCACTTACCTGCATCGCCCGATTTTAATGTTCTTCGCTATACTCCATTCACCCCTAAGCTGACACGCAATGGGAGCTATGTGCTTGCCAGACCAATCAGCTGCTTCCTTTTAATCACCTGACCTTAATCTCTGCACGTGGGTATGGGTGAGAGCGTGATCATGTGGCGAGATGTATGGTGGGTCGAACGAACGCATAGCTTCCACCGTGCTGCCAGCTTAGGGTTGAACAGAGTATAACTTGTAGGAGAGAAATGTGATAAAATGGATGTTCACACTGTATCATGCTCTCTACCTGGATGTGCCAAATTCTCCCTTTCCGTGTAGTGGCAGTTGGTTCTCAAATGTAACATTCTAAACTTAAACTGGTAGCTACTGTGGCTACTCAGGTGTGGGAAATAAGCTGCAGTTTAACCTTTAAGTTATGGTTCATTGCCAGAGAATGCTGATGTAGTGATTTCCTTTTTAGGATGCAAGTATGTCCCACGAGCCATCTTAGTGGACCTGGAGCCTGGCACCATGGACTCTGTACGCTCGGGACCCTTTGGACAGCTCTTCCGACCGGACAACTTTGTTTTCGGTGAGCTCATTGCTTCCACAGAGCAGCTATTGTGGTATGGTGGCCACCATGGCTGGCCTGCAGATACCCGGGTGGCTGATTTAAATCCCGGCCAAGGTGCCCGCAGTTGTACAGTGGCTCGTTGCATAGAAGGCACAATAAATAAGCTTTTGGTTGCAGGTAAAAAGGTCCTCAGGTAGTCAGAATTAATCCTCAGTTCCCTGCTGGGGCGTGCTTGTTTTGGCATGTGCAACCCCCAAATTTTAATTTTAGTTTCTTTAGTGGTATGGCGGCACACATCAGCAAACTGTGAGACTGGAGGTTTTCGGTACTTTAGCTAGGTCGCGCTAGCATGTCCTGCCTTTAACATATGTGAGAGAAGGGTTTGATTTCAATCCCTTTTATGAGCATTTCATAACTGCTACAAACGGCAGACTTTAACACTGCACTGTCTTTGACTCCCTTTAAAGGGAAGATGGGGCACTTCTACATTTGAGAAAAAACGTTTGAATTGCGTTCATCTTGCCTTTAGAATAACAAATATCACAATTGTATTTCAATGCGATGCGCCGGAGAGCCATAAGAGCAATTTGAAAATAGGGCTGAAGCCCCGCCTCCCTAGCCTTGGCAAGCCAAAAGATCCGTCGATGACGTCACGGACAGCGACTGTCTTTCGCGTTTTTCTCGCGTTTAACAATACTTGCGCGGAAAATGGTTTTGGTATTCGGGTTCACGAGGTAAAAATACACTAGAATTCACTTCTAACTCATTTTTTTCAAGAAGCTCCGTAGCTTCCCTTTAAAGGAAGCTGAAACACTTCTTTCAAGAAATGAGACGGAGGTTGATTCTAACATAGTTATATCCCGTGAATCTGAATATCACATTAGTTTTCTCCGAAGATGTAACTAAATGTGAGAAAACTGAAATAAACCTCAGACCGGTCGTTTTGTCGTAAGAGTATTTTTCGGCTGCCAAGCGAGTGTCGTTCCAGGGCTGCGCATGCAATTGCAAGCTTGCCAGGTATATTCCCCCGCACTGGTACTAGTCGTAACGTTTTTTTCTGCCTTTGATAGGCGTTGAAGATGCCAGAGCGGAGATTCCGAAGACTCTTTTTATGACGTCGCGCTCTGGGTGGGAGGTCCTGCAAGGGTACTTTGAAAATAACGTTTTGCAACCTCCATGCAAAAAAAAAAAATAATAATAATTCAATATTTGAGTTTTTGGAGGCTAAATGAAAGATGATCTAGATGAGTTTCCTCAAATACAAAACCGCTTCAGTTTCCCTTGTGAATGCCAGACACAAGTGGCATTCACAAGGACCCATTGACACTCGCGTGACTTGGGACCCACATAACTGTAGCCAAGCATGCCTATAGATGATCAGGTGATCATAAATATTAGCGAATTTTCCAGTACAAATTCATATTTATACTAGTGCTCGGTTAGGACTGACGCACAGCAATACGGATAGCTGTGCGACATGCTGCATCGGCTATACTCGCAGACAATTTTCTGTGTTTCTGCAATCAAGGGTATAGGTGCCTGGGCGCTCGCACATTTTGAGCGCCAATCGGAGCTGTGCACGCATACTCTTCGCTTCCTCTGAAGTGTTATAGAAAGCTGTAGTATTTTAGAGTCCCTCTCACAGGGGTGGAACGGCTGCGCCATTTGCGCCATTTTGCGCCAGACGCATTTGTCTGCGCCATCCTGCGCCATTTTGCGGAAATTGCGCCACAGCTAATACCTTGCGCCATTATGCACCAAATCGCACAATGTGCGCCAAAAAAAAAAAAAAAAGAATTGTATTTTGTTTTGGTTTCGGATTATGTATCGACTCAATTGGCAACAATGAGCGCGTTTAGCTTGGTCGGACTTGCAATCCTTTCTTCTCTTTATTCTCCCTGTGCATCCCGAGTCGGAAGCACGCGAAAAAACTCGCCTGCGACTGGATTGTTATTCTTCAACCATAAGCGGTTAAGCAAGTCTGCCGAGGTGAGACAGAGTCGTTAAGCGTCGGATAGCCTGAGGGTCTGCGGCCCGGGTTCTGGACATCAGCCAGTTGAAAACACATCAGCGAAAGATTCCTTCTAGTGCTTCATCGTTGGAAGTTAAAACCGCATTCTTGCAAGATAAGTCATGATTTGATTGAACTGAAACGCTGTCCGATCCGAATCCTTGCCGGCCAGCAGCTCTCACGCGAGCGGTAGATCTGCTTGGCGCACTTTAACCTTGCTCCTGCTAATCGCTTTGAATACGATAACTCCGTTAATCGTAGTCTGCTGCTTCGATATTGAGTTGCACAATAGGATAAACTCGAAATTCGTTGCCCTGTTGCTCCGCGCAACTGCACGTCCGCTGCTTAGGCACGCCAAGAGTTTCGCACATATAATTACTATGTCCAGCACGTCTGAGTTGTGCGATAAGCAGTGCTGGTTTGCATTTCGAGCAACTGAAAGTCACTCAGAAAATATCAAGGACACCATCTTCAGAAACATATGGTACTTGCTTTTTGGTTCTCATTAAGGCTCCCAAAGTTTCAAGTTTTCGCATCTGTTACACTGTTATCCCATCTACATAGGTCCCCAACCACTCATGTTCATCTGTGCTGCTAAGCACATTTGAAATTACTCCCGTGCTCGTCTAAAACACAAGCTGAAGTGCAATGCAAACTGATCTGGGCTGCTCTTAGCCTGCTCCAGAATGGAGTTTTAGCTGCTCCCAACCTGCTCCAAAACAGCGGTTTCAGCTGCTCCCGTGGCTGCTCCCAAATACATTTCATGAGTTCCACCCCTGCTCTCAGCCTTCAAATTGTTTACTTAGAAACAATGTGTTTACTTAGAAACACTGAATGTTCCCACAGTATCCTATCCAATAGCATCCACTTAAAGTGGTAGGAACTAATTGCCAATTGCATTTTCTGATCGGCTGATGTGGGCCATCTTGAAGCCGGGAGGCAAGAGGAGACTGTATGAGTGATGTTTATGTGAAAGCTTGAAACAGCTGGTGCATTATGAAAGTGGGTCAACCAAGACCCATCTATTTGTGCATAAGAAAGGAGTTGCGAAAAAGTTTTGACTGATTCTCTTGAGCAAGTCAACATCTTCTCCATCATAATGTAGAAACAGCGCAAAAAACGCAAATATGGCAAATTTTAATTAGTCTTGATGCCCCTGCCACTTGTTAGTTGACAAAAACTGTGCACCCTTCAGAGTTTTTCCTTTCCACATTCTCAAAAGGTAGGGTCCTCGTTTGTAAAGAAGCGCTGGCTTCCCAATAACTGTAGAAAAGGCAAGGAAACCATTGCTACGACTAGCAGGTGCTGCCGCATTTGTTTACTCGCTGCCGCACAGTAGCGCCACAACCTACCAGCAATAGCCCATGCAATCCTTCAATCGGAGCACAATGTCACATTGCAATAATCCTCTGTGCAAGGTGCAGACAGACTTGGTTGCCATAATATAGCCAGTCTTACGAAAACTGTGGTGTTTGTGCCACGACTTTATATATCAAGTTTCCCATAATCTGGTCCACAAAAAAACTTCGACAAACCTGCACAAAAGTTCTGCCCACCCCGGTTAAGATCCATAGGACTCATTACGAAGCCGTCGATTGCAGCTCCACAACGCTGTTCTGAGGTGAAGCTTGGGAGTGCTGGTACTCTGTGGACCATCCATGGTTCTATGCTCACCTGCGAAGTGTGTCCCTTGCACGTGATCCCTTTGTGATTGGATAGATGTGCAGTGGCGGAATGTGTAAGCACGTGGCAAGCACATAGAGCTTGCGCTGCAGAATCCTGGATTCAATCTCCACCATTGTCCGTCTTGGTCTGAATGAGCATTGCATCAGTGTACAGTTGCGTATCAGTACAAAGACCCTAGGCTAGCCATTGCAGTGCATTGGCCGAATTTTTCATCTACAGCGTAAACCAGTGTTGCCATACCCCAGAGGCAGACCCAACCTTACGCTGTCTAAGCATTACCTTAGAATTTGCCTTTTGCCCCCGCGGTGCAGGCCAGAGTGGTGCGGGCAACAACTGGGCCAAGGGCCACTACACTGAAGGGGCAGAGCTGGTGGACTCTGTGCTGGATGTGGTACGCAAGGAGGCGGAGGGCTGTGACTGCCTGCAGGGCTTCCAGCTGACCCACTCGCTGGGAGGGGGCACGGGCTCCGGCATGGGCACCCTGCTCATCTCCAAGATCCGAGAGGAGTACCCCGACCGCATCATGAACACCTTCAGCGTGGTGCCCTCGCCCAAGGTAAAGGAGTGCTGCACCTCTGGGGGAGGGGCGTCAACGCTAACAGTGCCTATAGTCGGTTACAAGTCAAGAAGGTAGGAGAAGCTCCTCCCACAAGTGTGATGCGCCCGTTTCAAATCTCTCCGCAGTTGAAAGAAGAGTTCACTGGAAACGCTCCTTGTTCCGCTTCAATGGATTCCCACTTGTCTCCGATCCCACTTTTTAAGAAAGCGACCTTTGTATTCATCGGAGAGGGAACCGAGCCCCTGAAAGCAGCCTTTGTATTCATCGGGGGGGAAGCTAATCCCCGAAAGTCGTATTTGTTTCCGTCGGTGGGGGAGAACTCTAATCTCCCTCTCGTGGCTTCCACAATGCTAAGTCGAAGTCAAAAGATAAAGCAAATATGTACAGAAAGGCAAGACCCTCCTCGCGTGTTGGCCGCGACGTCACGGAAACGGTGGGACGCTATTGGACGCGGAGGTGGCGGAGCGATATCTGATTCCCTTTGAGGGGCATTTGCCGCTACCTTCTTAACCTGTAACTGACTATAGAATACGTTCGTCTGGTTTGCATCCTGCCACAATCCTGGTGGTGGCACAGCAGTGGAGGTGTAGGCAGGAGACTCTTCTTCTGCTACAGGTCATTTGCTGTCAGGTAGCTGAAGGAAACTAATGAATACACAAGACAGAATGCCATGAAAACAGCGGCCCATGCATCTGCGCGCCTTTTCACCAGCATTTAATCGACCAGCCATCGGGATTGCGACATCAGACAATAGGACACTCCCAGTCTTGTTCCATAGAACTCGTGTGGGAGCATATCCTTGAAGAGGCTGACTTGAGCTTCGTGGGGTCCACGGGCGACAATTAGAGGCCTGGAATACAGGCCTCTAATCATCTAAAAATAGTACATCCTTTTTATTTTTTTTTTAATTGACTTGCGTAAAACTAATTCCAAAAAAAAAAAAAAAAAAATGGTCCTTACGCGTGAATATGTTGTGTTAGTGGAAACCTCCACCACAACTCCGAGCTATGCTTCGTTTCAGCTTCGGTCCGAGCGCGGCCGATGTTATGAGCCGAAGGGCCAATCAAACGGCGAAAGAGGCACAGCGTCATGGCGTGCTCTCCGCAGTTGATAGGACCAGCCGGTATTCACCGTCTGTCTGTGCGCGCTCCTCCGCCGGCTAGTCCTTTCAAGCGCAGAGAGCACACCATGACGCTACGCTTTTTGCGCTGTTTGATTGGCCCTTTTTGGCTCATAACATCGGCCACGCTCGGACCGAAGCTGAAACGAAGTATAGTGGCAGAAACTCACTTAGTGTAATTTTAGAAACATAATTATGGTAGACACCACGGTTTGTACTCTTTTGTGTCTTTAGCTTGTATCTTACTCAATTCTGTAAGTACCATATTTGCTATAAAATGCGCGATTTGTCTAGATTTGTGGTGGACGTTGCAGTTTTTTAATTAATACTATTGTTTAATTGTAGCATGTCATTCCTTCCTTTCCATAAACTTTTCTTTCCATTCCTTTCTATAAACTCTTCTGACCCGAATATCAAACACTCATGCCGGAGTTTTAACTGTTCATAGATACCACCATGGTAGAGATAAAGCGAGCTATCTTTGAGTCTACACACTAATTGGCACGGCAGTAGAATGTCAAGCTCGCAATCAGTCTATATTTCTTTCTTCTCAATGTATTATTCTTTTTAACAGATTTCCCTGAAGTGTGTTACGCATTTCGGCACGGTTTCCGTGGCGCTGTGTCGCGTTTTCCTCGGTGATGGTTGGATGAATGGATGTTAATGGCTGCACCCTTTGTTACGGGCAGCAGCTTGCGCCACCTACCCTAGGATCCCAGCCCTTAACCCCTTGATGCCCAGCGCTGCCTGGGAGCAACAACTCAAGAATGATTTATTTTATCCGTGCCATGTGTGCCTCAATAAATATAGTGCCCTCTGTCGCAAGGGCGAGGATATGTCTGCTTAGCAGTGGAGGGTCAAAGTGCACCTTTGAAATGGGTCACTCGTCCTTTAATACCGAAGCCAACAGTTAATGTGAGGTATGACGGCGTGCACCGCTGGCCTCGGAAATCGGAGAAGATTGGCTCAGATGTTACAAATTCGGTCATACCTTTCTCTCCTGTGCGAAATTCTATATGCACCTGGGCCTTCTCCAGTGTCGTAACTGCTTTCGTTTGTTCGACATAAAGCAGTGCCGGAACTGCCCAATGTTGCTCACGAGCAACATTTCACGAGAATGCTTACGAAAAATAATTTTTTTATTCTTCAGACCAGATTTCTTGTTCTTTTGTGTGCTTTAAACCCATATTAGGGTTTGTAGGTCTCTACTATTCCAAGTAAAGCTTTGGGCGTGAAAGGGAAGTTGAAACTGTTAAAAGAAAAGATAAGATAACGCTTCTTTACGGCGTTGTCTTTCCTGGAGAATCTAAATATCATTTGTCCTCAAAACAACACTAAATGTGAATGACCAGGTTAGTTTCAAATTGCGCCTTTTGCAGAACAATCAACTTGCAATTCTTGCTTCGTTTCATCTCCGCTTCACGTATGCTCCTCTAATTCACTGAGGTGCCTGGAACCAGCACACCGCTGGACTAGCAACCATATATTAAAGAAACCTCTTTCATGCGCATTAGTTCCGAAATAGGAAACAAATGGTGTGGATGATCCTCAATAAATGGTCGCTTGTCCAGCAATGTGTTCTATTTTTTTCCTTTTTCTCTCTGGGTGTATCTTCCTATATCCAGCTGACATCATTCGTAAGTGTGAATCAACTAGCTTAGCTACGAGCTGTCGCATCAAGTACCGACAATGCTGGCTCTGCGAGCCGAGGAGCACACGTGAGGGTCCTTTCGTGACTTAACTTAATGTGTCCCTTCTACTTTTACTCTCCTCCTCTCCTCTCCCACTGCCGCAGAAGAGCGTGGTTCTAATGAAAGTTCAAAGGTGTCTTTTTAGGTAATGCGGGCATGAAATAGCTTACTTTTTGTGATACTCATGACGCTTGAAGTGTGGTTACAAAGAATGGGGTGTTTTTAATAGAATTCAAAATGTGACTCATTTTTTGTTTTCCCTTTGCACAGGTTTCAGACACCGTGGTGGAGCCCTACAATGCCACCCTGTCCGTCCACCAGCTGGTCGAGAACACTGACGAGACATTTTGCATCGACAACGAGGCTCTGTACGACATCTGCTTCCGCACCCTGAAGCTCACGACCCCGACCTACGGCGACCTGAACCATCTGGTCTCTGCCACCATGTCTGGTGTCACCACCTGCCTCAGGTGAGGTCGCAAGTTACGCTTGTTTTTTTTAATGTGGTAACGAAGGTCAAGACAGATGAGCCAGACAGTAACTATGAGCACCTTTTCCTTCAATATCTAAGGTGCAAAGCTTGGGCAAATAATGGCAGATAGAAGATGGGTTCCCAAACTGTGTTTAAGCGCTACTTTAGCGGATCTGGACAACCCATTGAATCATAAGTATGAGCCAAACGTTCCCTAATATGTGCATTATTATTTACAAGGTCAGTAGGCTTCTCGACTGCTCTTTGCATCGGTGCCGAAGCTGGTTCCTCGGCTATCCGTAACGGGACGTGGGGCGTTCCTTGGGGGTGAAGGGATTGGGAACCCGAGAGATAAAAGATGAACTTTACACATGTGCCAGATGTTATCTTCCTGTTTGTTACGAAGGGCTATAGCAGGGATGGCCAGACGGACATGCGCAAAGAGCTATAATATACACCAACTCATGTTTACAAACAAACCGGAGCGCCCCTAGCGAACACCACCGGCGCCGCGCTTGTGCGATGGGGGTGTGGGCAAAAAGCTCGCCGTCGCCCATAAGCAAACCATTGAAATGCGATGTTGTCGGTGTCGGTGTGAGTCCTTGCGCTCTTTTTGGCGTTGGAATTGTTGATTCTACGTCCTCCTAACGATGTCTGACTACTTGAGCGGTGTCAGCGAAATTACTGAGGCTCGTTACACCGCAAAACTTCGCGTGAATCATCTGACATGCGGCGATTCATTCTGCGTGGACGCCGCAGAAGGTACGCTAAAGCCTGATTCACATGATGAGATTCGCTCACAATTTTCAGTCACGACGTCGCTCGGGCTGCAAAAGCGTGAACCGTAGCTGAGATGTCGACGTCGATACTGCAAATCGCAAGCAGAATCTAACCAAGTGAATCAGGCATAACAAGTCGGTGATGGCCACTGGTAACAATGATCAACATCTCCTTGTATCTACTGTTTACGTCCAGTCTGTTTACCAACCTTCAAACTTCAAACTTTTGAGGCCTGCACTTACTTCTTATCGCAAGTACTGGGCCCACGTTTGGTCTAAGGGCCGGTGTCCTCTGAAAGAGCAGACGACAAGCAGAAACGTTTGGAAGAGCAGACGATAGTTCGAACGATCAGGCGGCCGTTTGAACTTCCAGCGCTCATTTTGGAACAAAACAAATAAATTGGATGACCAGAAGTATCCGTGAATTCAACCCAAAATGCTTCCCCCCCAAGCAATCGGGGTCCGACGGCGTCTGGTTGTCCTTTTCACTGCACATATCCACGTTCTCGGACGAACAGAGCTCATGAAAACTGACCTTCAAATCTTTCTCGGCACTTTTGGTACAGCCCCAGTCGCAGCATTTTGACGAGAAGGCAGGTTTTTGTCTGGTTCCTTTCAAAACAACGCGGGAATACACGTCTACAATGGGCACAGCCCCGGACCGGAAGTGCGTCCGACGCGCCACCACCGCGGCGTGACATAACAGAGATGAGTTTGTGTATAGAGCCATTTCAGCTAGTCAGAATAAAAAGGGTGTGGCACTTTATAAAAATAATTTAGTCATAAAGGAAAAAGTGGTGGCTCATGCCACTGACCCTTGTGTCACTTATCGTGTTAGTTCGATGTGTGCATGGTGACACAAGGTCACCAAAAGGCACAATTTTTATTTATAATACATCTTTTCTGATTAAGCTGGGATTGAAAAAGCCTATGCTTACTGGCAAGTCGCAGTTTGGCCACCCTTGGGCTATTGGTAAATCGTTAATAAATATTAGAAACAGTAAAGGTCCAAGCACGGATCCCTGAGGAACCCCAGAAGTGATGCGACTGCAGTTTGATTTATGGTTGTTAGCAACAGTGAACTGGGTACGAGAAAAAAAAAAGTTGCGTATCCAGGAGACAACAAGAGGGTCAATGCCAAGACAAGAAAGTTTATCGATTAGGCGATGATGAGGAACCCTGTCGAACGCCTTCGAGAAATCGAGGAACAAGGCATCTGTTTCGCTTAATGAGTCAGTATTAGTAGTGAAAAGTTCATGAGTGAACTCTACAAGTTGCGTTTCGCACGAGAAGCCCCTCCGAAAACCATGCTGGCGATTATAAAAAAAGTTATTTTCTTCTAGGTGGGAAATAACGTGAGAAAATATTACATGCTCAAGAAGTTTGGACGCAATGCAGGTTAATAAAATGGGACGGTAGTTCGAGGGCAGCTTACGATCGCCGCTTTTAAAGACTGGAACGACCTTGCCCAGCTTCCAGTCCCAAGGGTAAGCAACCTAGCTCCAGTGACTGAAAAAAGATCAATTTAAGACACTCACTAGATGTAACTTCAATATTGCTCAGAATTTTCGGCTTTATATTATCGGGACCACAAGAAGACGCTAGTTATAATCTTTCTATGAGGTGAAGTATTCCATCGGCTGAAATGTCAATGGAAGTCATAGGTACAAAGTCGGACAAGGGTAAACATGGAATATCAGTGGTATTTTCATAGGTGAACACAGAGGAGAAATAATTATTTAATACAGTAGCGCAATGAAGCTCAGATACAGCGACTCCATTTTCGTCCTGAAGATGAATCGAATGAGTGCCTCTAGGCGAAAATATTTTCCAAAACTTCTGGGGATTAGAGTGCAAAATTCTTGGTAAATCTAAAGAGAAGAATTTCTGTTTTGACGATCTAATACTTTTTGTATAAGTTTTGAGGCACGCAAAGTATTCATTCCAAACAGAGTTAACGTTCAGCCGTTTCGCTCTTTTATACAAACGTTTCTTTTTATTGTTCAATGAACGCAGTGTTTTGTTATACCAGGGGTTATTCCTGTCGCTCCGCACAGTGACAGTGGGAACGAACTGCTCAGTGAGACTGTTTATTTTATTTTTAAAAAGTAACCAGTTTTCTTCAACAGACCTTGAAAAAAAGTTTTCGGCGTATGTTTGATAAAAGGAAGATAAGTGCTGATTTATTGCCACGTAATCAGCTTTGTTGAAGTCGCGGATTGTTTTGATTGTGGGGTTCCTCGTGAGGACGGGAATTGATAACTTAATGAGCAAGATATTGTGGTCACTTAAACCTAGAACAGAGTCAACATTTTCTATAAGTTCCGGAGAGCTAGTAAGGACAGGATCAAGAATGTTATCACCACGAGTGGGCTGATTAACAACTTGGATGAGGTTGAAGTTCAAGCAGTTATCGAGAAATTTTTTAGCATCATTCGACCCGCTTGTGGTATAATTAACCCAGTCTAGGTCTGGAAAGTTGAAGTCGCCAAAGATTAGGAATTGCGCTTTCGGGTAAAGGCCCTGAATGTTAAGCAAAACAGAGTGCAGATTGTCACAATAATCACTATCCCGACTTGGCGCCCGATAACATGCGCCGATTATGGTTTGCCAAAATGCCGATGTAATGCAGACGAACACAGTCTCTAGGTCAGGACAAGCTCGAACACAAAATAAGGAGACACATTTTTTTATCGCGATGAGCACTCCCCCTCCTCGTTTCGAAATCCTATCGCATCGATAAACGTCAAACTGCAGTTCATCAGGAAAAATTTCGCTGTCGTTTATCTCGGGTTTCAGCTAGGATTCCGTTAGAATGGCAGTGCTAGAGTTATTGTCACAAATGAAAGCACTTAGATCATCACGTTTAGTCATAACACTGCGTATATTAGTAAATGCCGGTGTTTGAACCCGTATATCAATCTTCAATGTCTGATCGAGACTAGCGGGAACTGTTAACATCTGTTGGCTCTATTACCGACTGCTAGCTCCCGGTTAGCTTGGTAGAGAGCTCTGCTAGTCTTGAAAGAGGTCCCGGGATCTTATCCAGGACCAGGTGGACTTTTTTGGCGGCAACCAGTCTCCTCAAGGGCAATAGTTGTGCTTCATTTCAAGGGGAAGTCAATTTATTCCCGTATTTGTAATCCCTGCCCCATCCCGTATTTGCAGGTTTCCCGGCCAGCTGAACGCAGACTTGCGCAAGCTTGCCGTGAACATGGTGCCTTTCCCGCGTCTCCACTTCTTCATGCCCGGCTTTGCCCCCCTCACGTCCCGGGGCAGCCAGCAGTACAGGGCCCTGACCGTGCCGGAGCTGACCCAGCAGATGTTCGATGCCAAGAACATGATGGCCGCCTGCGACCCCCGCCACGGCCGCTACCTGACAGTGGCCGCCATCTTCAGGGGCCGCATGAGCATGCGGGAGGTGGACGAGCAGATGCTGAACGTACAGAACAAGAACTCCAGCTACTTTGTGGAATGGATTCCTAACAATGTGAAGACGGCCGTGTGCGACATCCCTCCCCGGGGCCTCAAGATGTCTGCCACCTTCATTGGGAACAGCACCGCCATCCAGGAACTTTTCAAGAGAATCTCGGAGCAGTTCACCGGTGGGTCTTGCGCACAATTGTTTTTTTGTTTTTTGCGTTTTTACCTGTAGGACAGTTCTTAAAGGATACTACGATATCTAAAAGAATGCCAAGCAAACCGAATCTGGTCCCCTACGCGTGCAAGTAAATATGGTGGTATGGTGTGGTTAGAGATGGCAGTTCTAGCAGTCGGAAAGCCATCTCGGTGGCTCGGAGGCAAAGCACTGGCCTACGGATCCCCAGGTGGTGGGTTCGAATCCAGCCGAGGTGCCTGCAATCTGACGAAGGCTTATTGCGGGCAAATTGCAAGAATTTCCTGTGGTCACTGCACGTCCTACAGACTTGCCACACAAAACAGTTACCTATTATCTATGCCTCCCAAACGAAAATATTGCTTGCATACTTGCTGCAAGAGTATGAAATATCCATAGTTGTGATTGAAAGGAGGTAGGCTGTGTGAAACCATGGAAGAAAGCCTATTTTATTGTGGGGAACTTGTACTAACAAAGTATAGAGGTAGTGAGCAGGTGCAGACCATCTTGCTTAGTTGAACATGGGTTTCGTAGCATCCCGTCTGCTTAGAAGTTCCCACCTGCAGTCAACCATCTTAAATTGTTCTTGGGGTTTGCGACAAACTGCAAGCCATTTGGCAATAACCGATAGCTAAATGCTAGTTCCACAAAAGAACCATGTCCTTTCAGTTTACTATTCTAGTCCATGCTAACTCTGTTGTATGATCCGTTTGGTGTTTCATATGTCCTTTACTAGTTTTCTAACAGCTTTTCAACGATACATTTCGAATTAATATATAAACTGTGGTTATAAACAATGAAGCATACTGCTCAGCAGCATGTGCAAATATTCCGAATAGTTTCAAACAATATACTACAGTATAGATCACTTACAACGTAACCGCTTATAGTGCAGGACCGGGTATAACACGGCTTTTTTAAACCACTGGTTCGCCTCCCATAGAACTCGTGTAATTACATACCGCTTAAAATGCAGGCGCGTGAAGGGAAATACCGGTGATAGTGCGGTTTTTGAAACGGCCCGCCGACCGCGCAGGCCAACCTACACAGCGAGCACGCTTCCCTGTGAGACACTAGATAACGGCGTCAGCCGCAAGCGGCACTCGCGGGGCAAGACGCGGGGCAAGGAGGTTGCTCGAAGAAGTGGGGGGAAGCGAAAGAGAGGCTTCAGTTACCATAGCGACGGAGGGACGCACGCACGTGTCGTTCACGTGGTTGCGTCCCTCCGTTGCGTTGGAAAACAACCGCAACGACAGACCAATCGCAGGTCGAGGAGGTGTTCGCGCGCGTTGCATGCCGGTCGCGGGCCGGCTGCTTCTATCTGCAAACATGGCGTCGGTTGTAATCGTCGACGTAAACGGCGTGGTGGAAGCTCATCGTTCCGCGTAAAAGTGCTATCCCTGACTGTGAATTTTTGTCGTGTGAGCGAATAACCCAGCACGTACTAGAAGGGAAAATCCACCTACTCGTGCGGCGATGTCGTGGCGGCACTCTCAAGACGGCAGAAACGTCCGTGTCGTCGTGTTTGTTTACTTCGACTACAGTGGTGATTTCTAAGCATTAGTGTTTTCGAACATCGCCCAGATTTCTTATTTGGAGCATTTCATGCCTGCGCTCAAGTTGAAGGTATTACTGGCACGTACCGTATAAAGGATGCGAATTTTCACGCGTTTTTATCGCTGGAGAAAAGTGATTAGGGTTAGCAATCCTGAACTCTCGCAACGTCCGTCCGCAACCCGCGACGCCGTTAAAAGGCTGCGCCAGGCGAAAGTCGCTCATTTTCAAAATTTGTGACACACTTGAGAGAGAAGTGTACTAGTTTGGTGAAATAAAGACTCTTCAAACTAAGCTTCATTTTTCATCTAACATAAAATAAATTCTTTTTCAAAGGTAAGTTGTCTCATGGCATGTATTTTGGCCTGAAAAAATGATGTTTTGGTTATAGCGCGCGGTACCGCTTATAGTGCGGATTTTCGAGACTCCCGCGACATAGGTTATATGCGGTCTACACTGTATTCAATATTTGATTAGAGATGAGCTGCGAGATTCATACTTGTCGATGTGTTGATCGCTGCGAGTTGGCCCTATTGAGCACCTGTGCACTGCGGGAAAGCAATGCTTGTGGGCTACATGGGTATTGTTTCGCCACTGCACTTGTGCTTTGTGAGAGGAGCACCCAACAAGGCTAACCTGCCACGGTCATGGAAGAGTAAGGCAGCAATGCCTAACGACCCACACTCATCATTCATGCTTTTGGTTTTCTTCCTTTTGTCAAATTTGAGTTATAGAAAAGAATACTTGCATTTAACACACATATTTATAAACTCCCTCTATTAGGATAGCTGCAACAATTTTGTTCTTTACAGGCCAAAGTTAATATATATATAAATATTGCTATACTAAAATTAACTCGACCTAGAAGTGGACAAGTGAAAGGTTGGGAACAGTCTTCACGAGTTCAGCTGAATTTTCGTTTAAGCACTGTGCACAGTAGTGAAAGGTTTGGAGAAACTATTCAGTATTTGATTTTTAAATATCGGCCGAAACCACTATCTGCTTGAAGCTCAAAAGCTACTTCTCGCACATGTCTACTGCTCAGTTACATGGCAGTCCTTAAAGGAGCTGTGCAACAATTTCAGGGCTTTGCTTCAATTATTGTGAAAGTTGATGCTCGACACTTCTGAAGTGAACTACAAAACAGATTTTGCCGGGATACCCTAGTTTTTATTTAAAAAAATGAAAAAGATCCAGGTTTTTGCTGCCCCTCAACTCGTACGTCGTCTTCCGGGTCACGTGTGCAGTGACGTTGAGGGGGTGGGCACGGGGTTCCGGAAAAGTTCTCTCTTTAGAGCCATCAGTGAGCAGCAAGAACTTGTCCGCTCGCGACCGTGTGACCACGTGCTGGCGGGCGCTGCGCAAACAATATGGTGAAAGGAGGAAAGTCTCATCCGGGTCCGGCCATACCCATCCGACCCTGTCCCCCTCCCCCTCCGGCTTCTGGCAGCTGTTCGCGGTAGCAGAGAGAGCTGACGGTTTTGTGGACCTAGGATAGATGGCGCCACTAAAGCTCCATATAATAAAAGTTTTGTCGATGATACCAGGTTTTTGACGCATTTATATATATGTTGGAACGACATGATTTATAGAAAAGTTGCCTTTTATCGAGCAGGTATTCGCACAACTTGCAATCTTTCTACAAGATTCCCCATCGACGTCATGCCGTGTGTTTCTCATGGCCGCCGCTCGCGGCTGCAGGGCGGGGAATATTCAAAGTTTTGCCTCGCTATTACGCGGCGGAATCTCAACATTTCGATGAAAGGAGGTGTGTTTTCTGTCATTTGTGACAAGGTGAACAATATCAAAAGCAGAAGATGCCAATTCTTTCAACGCTAAAATCGTTGCACAGCTTCTTTAAGCAGACTAGAACACGCCAGATATAGAGAATCTCGGAAGGCAGTTGACTTCATGACAGACGTGTCTTGGGGTAGGACTTGTTCTGTAACAAACACCTAGCTTGGACACCTCAATAAATTAGCCTAATACCTGACATGTCATCACTGCCCATTTTGATCTGAATGAGCGTCATACCTGCGTGCCGTTGTGTATCACCACTGCGTGATGCACATTGAGGACCCCCGGGCTAGCAATCATACTGCACTGACTAGATTTCTCATCCACAGCTGAGACACCAGACTCCTTTTGAGGGTGACCAAATTCCAGCTGTCTAAACATATGCACAGTCATTACGTGCCATTTTAACTATTAGAACAATGGCAGTTATCGACCCCAAGATGCGATTCGACTCTACAGATCCCAGTTGAAACTGAACCAAATCTAGTTCCATGGGATCTCTCTAAATAGTGAAGCAAACTAATTAAGGACACACTTTTTATTGTGCATCTTTGAAACGAGGTATAGCATGCCTTTCTTTCTGAGCAAAGAAACAAATCAAAACGCTTCTAATGCAAACGTAGCAGAAGCCGCATCATCATTACATTACCGATGGCCGTGCCCGCGGTTGTCCTGCATTGCTTGGCATTGGCTTCCGCGATTTGCTTGGATTGTTATAATGTCAGCTCCTACCCTAAACACTGCACCTCTTAAAATATTTGCCGCTACACTTGTCTAGTTACCTTCCTGTGGTCCTAAGTACATTGTTAATGCTGGTCCTCTTTGGCAATGCAGCCATGACCTCATGGATGCATCGTGAACTTAGTTGGGGAACTCTGTTAGGTCACCTAAAACAGGCAAGCTCGGTTCAGTTTAACTGTTGTAGCGGCTCAGGGATAGTTGGCTCTGCCATGCAACTCCAGTTAATTCTTGCTGAGTCAAATGTCAGTGACAGGGGATGTCTAACAGGGGCATAAGTGCAATCCACTTGTAAAGATAATAAGAACCCGAATCTGCAATCGTTATAACCGATTATCGTTGTATTTCGACCAGAAACTGATCGGTTCTAGTCTAGAAACTATAAACTGATGGTTATAAGCAGCTCATCATTATATGTGATAGTTATAAGTGGATTCCACTGTATACCGTAAATGTCCAAGTTGGAGACGTCTTGCTCAGTTCATATGTGAACAACATTGTGCCAGGTGTACTGTATTTTCTGGTTTAAAAGTTTAATATCTATGTGTGTGGACATACAAGAATTCATTTCTTCGAGGTCGCCAATTGACAAGAACGGATTTTTTTAGTGACGGTGTGCTTACGATAATTTACGTACGGTGCTTTCAGTGCTAAGAAAGTGGGCATTTACCGGGGTGCGCTGTGTATGAGAATGTTGAACTTAGTCTAGAAACGAGGCCAGACTAAGCACAGTGTTTGGAACAGTACCTCTCAGATGCGATGCCTTAACGAGGGTCACACCTTGTGTTCCACCTTGCAGCCATGTTCCGTCGCAAGGCCTTCCTGCACTGGTACACCGGGGAGGGCATGGACGAGATGGAGTTCACAGAGGCAGAGTCGAACATGAATGACCTGGTCTCCGAATACCAGCAGTATCAGGAGGCCACTGCCGACGACGAGGGCGAGTTCGAGGACGAGGAGGAGCTGGCACAGCCCGAAGCTTAGACTCTCTTATCTCTGTTTTGTTCTTCTAAACAAACCTTAGCCTTTTTAAATATTCACTATTCGGATTGATTTGCAGCTAACATTCTTTCCTCGTTTTTTCTAATAAATCAATTGGAGTTCTTGCTGTGGTTGCCTTTTCTTTCGGTTCTCCTGTAGAAGCATGCATTTTACTTATGAGGTAGCAGCGCTACCTTTACCCAAGTGTTAAAAAAAGACTTTTTTTGCTGCATCTCTGGATTTTTTCGGCGATGAACCCAAAGAGGTTTTTTGCCACAAGTGGCTGACTTTCTGTGCTCATAGGCATGCTTTCCCAAGAAAGCATAAGCCTAAATTTCGAATTTTTTAAATTCATTTTTTAATTTTGAGGTTTTTGGTTTTAGGAATTGTACACCCTTACACTAAATTTGATAAGCATATGCATAATAGTTACCGTTGATATAAAAAATTTTCGACATATTGTGAGGCAGTAACGAAGTAAAGGAGTTCAATGTTTCAGTGCATTTTTCGCAGTTCCACTTATTGCTGGAAATTTCATATGAAGGAATCTTGTTTGAAGGTGGAAGTATCCTGATACCACAATCACCATGTTTCTGAACTGAAATTACTGGGGAATCAGGCTACCTAGTTTATATTGTTTTAAGCTGAAGTCCTCATTAAGGAAAACTTTTCAAAAATATACATAGGACAGATAGCATCTCATTTTGGGGATATAACTTCCTGAAGAGTGACGCGTCAACTTGTGGAGCTATGTGAATTAGTCCTAGAGATCTGAAAGTTTGCACAGTACACCTACGCTGAAGTTAAATCTCCAAATTTTATTCCAATCGCTTGAGTACAGAACTTCGACCTCTAGCCAGTGTCCCCCCCTTAATAGGTTGGGTTTAGGTTTGTTAGCAGGGTGTTTTCAGATACAATCGAACAACTATGTCTGGTGACCATTTTTAATTTTGATGAAAGAATATTTTGCTAATTCCATGCCCCGAAGAATAAAACCAATCCTTGATTTCTAGAAAAAGGAATTTGCGAAAACAAATTGTAAGCACCGTCTCATCTCGGTCACGTGCGCGTTTTGCATCGCGCTATGTTGACATTTCGGGCGGCTTCCCCTAAAAAACTTCTGGCTGCGGGTCTAGCAATATTCACTGACAAATTAGGCATAAGAAGTATTGTCAAAGTATTCGTCATAAAATATTAGGGTCGTTATTTTGAGAGAAAAAAAAATCGTAAACACGGCACATTGCGCAATGACGCTCTGGGTTAAAGATTTGCTTTCTCCGTATCTATAAAAAGCTAACGTCTTCAAACTTTGCCAGTGTGTTGCCCTTTATTTAGTGCATCACTGTCGTAATTAGCGGGAGAAATTTACAAGCATTGCTCACACATGGGCATTTTAATTAAATATGCATTATTTTGAAACTCGTTAAAAAAAGGCCATCTTTAATGTTCTTCAAACTGAATTTAAGGTTTATAATACACACTAACAGAGTCTGCAAAAGCATACTGCAGTATTTGTGTGGCTTAGAAATCATAAAGCGAGAAGTATGGCAAAATTGATAGTAATGCGGTTGCCGTAAATGGGGCGTGCACGTACCCGTTCTTCGCAATTTCAATAATAGGGAGTTTTCGTAGATTGTTTGTGCTGTTTCGCTACGAGATCCGGGACTCTGCAGGCAAAGCTAGCGCCGCGCATGCGCAGTAATGGAGTCTTCGTTCCGGTGAGCGTAGCGGGGGTGGAAAAACGGTTTACGAAAACTCCCTATAATTAAAAAGCGTAAAAGTGATACGGGGTGGTCAGGAAAAGACAAATTGACAGCACAGAGGTGGACGGTAGTTTTGAAGGGAAAATTCCTAGTACATTTTCGTACAACCGACCCAAAAATGCCCATGGGCCGGAGCGATCGAGCTGCGCCACCCTGCAGCATGCTTCGCGGTGCCTGTTTCAATAGACCGTTTTATCGTGGGTAGCGCCATTTTGAGAGCGAGAGAGAAAAGGGAAAGGGCTACCGTCGCTTTCCCCCTTTCTGATTGTGTAGAAAGAGTGATAGTCCCGGATGAGAGGCTTGGCCGGTGTTGGGTGTCTGCTGTGCCCCAACTTCTTTCCCGCTTTCTTTTCTGTTTTGAACTCGCAAACTTAAAGCCACGGGCTTTGATGGCAACAGTCCCCCGGTCATTGGGACACCATTGCTCGGTCATAGGGTGCACAAATAATGACAGAAAGCGTCGAATACCGCCTAAGGACCTTGTAGCTTGCATGGAATTCGGCAAGGCACGTGCGGCTGCAATGTTTTGAAGCTCCACCGCTTTCCGCGTGACTGGAAATGATGAACCATTCATAAATTTTTGCTTGCAATAGGCCCATTTCAACGCCGCCGTTTTTAGTAATGAATAAGTGATACATGAAACGGGAACCTCAATTAATTTTTGTAAAGACCCGGAGCTGCTACATATCGTTTTGCTGCGCTGCTTTTATCTTGCGTGTCCGTGTTCTCATATTTCATTGTGGATGAACGACGAAGACGTTCTAGATGTGCTTATATCAAACCGCAGAAAGTGTTAAAGCAGCCACGAACTATTTTACTATTTGATGCAATATTTTGAGTACTAACCTCCAATTTCTATCACTGACACGTTCGCTGCCGCTGTTCCCCCCGTTGCCGCACTGGCGGATGCCATGACTCGAACAAAGAAACGTACACACTGGGCTCGAAGACGCAGATCGCAACACACTAGTCGTACCCTGGAGCAACTATCCAGCGTTTCAAAGCGCCCAATCAACGGAAACAACCCACCAGCGGCACTCCAAGGAGCGCTTTTGCCGGCTCTCTGGTATCGCACAGGGGATCGTTATTCAGGAAACCCGATAGAAGTACCTTTTCAACAATTTCTAGCCTCACCCGGCGGCGGAAATAAGCCTTCAACTAAGTGTTGTAAATGATGATATCGAGTCAGTCACCACTGCAAATTATCAATATTAAGATAAATTCAGTTACAAAATTTTACAAGCTGAAACAGCAATTATCTCGAGAAAACTGGCACGCACCTTGCGAGCGTACCCCATGTTCATCGGCGGCGCAGCGTTCGGTGCGGGCTCCATTCACAAGCCGTTCCGAGCACAGTCGAGAAGATGGTGTTGAGGAAATGTCTTTTCGGTTTACGAACGCAATCCACTGCCACCAAGACCGGGGTCATGTGGAAAGCGATGGAGCTTAAAGACATTGCAGCCGCTCTCGCCTTGCCGGATTCATTGCAAGCTACATAGGTCCTCGGACAGTATTCGACGCTTTCTGTCGTTATTCCTGCACCCTATGGCCGAGCAATGGTGTCCCGATGACCGGGAAACTGTTGCCATCGAAGCCCGTGGCTCTAATTAGGTTTGCGAGTTCAAAACAGAAAAGAAAGCGCGAACGAAGTTAGGGCACAGCAGACACCCAACACCGGCCAAGCCTCTCATCCGGGACTTTCACTCTTTCTACACAATCAGAAAGGGGGAAACCGCCGGTAGCCCTTTCCCCTTTTCTCTCTCGCCCTCTTTCAGTAAAACGGTCTATAGCCGGCATATAGCGTCTTCGTCTCTGCGACGTAAATGAAGCAACTTTGCGAACAGATCAGCCTTGCAACCTTGGCGGTAACAGGATATAGGAGGTAGGGCGCGGCAGAACCTGATTCTGCGCCGCTTGTCCGAAATTCCAGGACTTCAGATCAGTGGTTCTCCACCATCGATGTTTCGCGGACCCCTTGTGGATCGCCAAAATGATGGAGGACCTCGTTCGGGAGGGGAGGTATAGGCGGGTAAATATAATAATTGAATAAATGGATTTAAGTAAGGGCTATACTTCGTTTCAGCTTCGGTCCGAGCGCGGCCGATGTTACGAGCAGAAGGGCCAATCAAACAGCGCAGAAAGCCAAACGTCATGGCGTGCTCTCTGCAGTTGATAGGACCAGCCGGTATCTTCTCCGCCGGATAGTCCTATCAAGAGCAGAGAGCACGCCATGACGCTGCGCTTTTTGCGCTCTCTGATTGGCCCTTCGGCTCATAACATCGGCCGCGCTCAGACCGAAGCTGAAACGAAGTATAGTGTAAAGTAGACCTTTCTTACTGACATGCATATGAGGAAACTCGCCCAAAAACTGAAAAATTTCCTCTCGACCTGGAAAAAAAAAACTTTTATTGCCGGGCTTCACTGATGAACGCGGACCCCTGAGTGCCTTCGCGGACCCCCCTTTTGAGAACCACTGCTTTAGATCATCGCCTATAACTCGACTACTCTTTGATCTCTATCAAACGCAGACGGTGCTCGGAAGTCGCATATTTCTTGTGCTCGTGGTCTGTTCTGGTGGGTTAGGTAGCTTTGTTGAGTGTGCTCACTACGCACTAAACCGCGGAGTGGGCATTGCAATTTTGCGTATCTTGCTTTGCCACAGCGCAGCTGCGTTCTAAGAGGAAAGCACTCCAGCGCAGCGCGTTCGACACAAACATCAAGTATAAACGAAGGGAAAACAAACAATTTCCGATATAACTACTACCCTGCAGTAAAGTGTTTTGGATAAGGCTGCAGCTAGTATATGTGGTAAGACTGCAATAGTCTAATACGAGATTTAGCAAGGACATTTGTGTATTGTGGGAAGGTTTATATGGACTGCTCTATCGGCTTATATGTTCAGGTCAACTTTCTTGTTTAGTTATCGCCTACATAGGTTCCATTTGCGCGATGGCACAACGACCGGATCAAATTAAATCTAAATTAGCTGGAGAAGAAAATGTAAACTTGGGAATAACCTTAATGATTTCGACTGGATTTTTTCCAAGACTTGTTTATGCAAAATTGATTTAAGTAAAAAGAACACTGAATCTAGGGAAAAGCATATTTTGCTTCTACCTGGTTAGGACAGGCATGTTTCAAAATGTATGTCGAGAAGAAAAACGTTTTCCAAATATTTATGCTGCATTATGCATTTTTTTATTTGTGGGCGAAACCGAAATTGTATCACTGTGCGATGATAGCGTTTGTACCCGACTATTAGCCCCGAGAGCGAACACAAGCGTCGCTGCGGTCGCTGCGCCCTGATTGGGTGAGGTGTACCGTGACGTCAGGGGGATGACTCCGCTCCGCGATCTCGCATCGG